GGTAGCTTTAAGTGACATACAACAAAGGGGAGGTCCTAAACTTGATTTCATGAGAGTCACCAATGCCAGTCTGCATTTTGATTCTTTTTCAATATTGAGAAGCAGAATGTAGTTGCTATTTTGCAAAATTAATCAGTGAACCCACAGCGAAAGCAGCTTTCCTTCAGGTCATGATTTAGAAATACATAGTGTCTTTCAGAAAGGTAGTCTTCATTGTAACTACTACTGTCACCTGAGTTGTCACTGAAATAATTATTTCTTCCCAAAGGGAGTATCTTTCTTTTGAAATACAATTTGAGGCATGATGGTATCTATTCCTCTAGGTACTAGATTCTTAAATTCTAGGATCTCTCTTTAACAATATCTGGATGGAACAGTTGTGAATTCCTAAGGATAAGAAGAGCTGCATCTGTTTTAGGAAATGAATGATATATTTTATACTGTCGTCAACTGTTTTCTAACTTGGCGCTATCGTTGCAGAGCTATCACTATGTAATCCTGTGCATTGGGAAAGGGATGAAAGTTGTACCTTAAAGGTCCTTTCATCTTTGCCCTTAATTAAATATGTTTGTCTTTCAAGAGCAGTGGTATTTCTTTGAATTGGAGAGATTATTTGCCTGAAATACTAAGCACCAGTCTGTAGATAATTAACATACAACTTTAACTATACTGAGGCCTCAGTATAGTTAATTTCAATCCCTTCTTAGTGGAGAGGTCGGCAAAGCAAAATAAAGCAAAGGACAATCCAAACAAAACAGGACATGGAATAGAGCTGTGTCTTATTTCACAATGCTTGCCTCGTTTTACTAAGAAAATTGATGGCTTCCTTGCATCAGGACTGTCCAACTGAGATACGGGAGAGCATTTTCAAAAGCCTACAAATTCTTGCTTACTGTTAGAAGAGGAGGTTATTTCTGTAGTTGAAATGCTGGGCCACAGATCTGTTTCCCTTAATGTTCAGTTGTTAATAAAATGGGACCAAATGCATTGTTATTATAAGGAGAGTACACACTTAATAAGAGATCAATTTCTCAGGAAATCTCTGCTGAATGGTAGTCATGTTCATATTCTGACTAAGCTGCTCATTAACAGGGAGATGAAAAAAATTCTCATATAAACTCAAATTCATCAGAAGAGGTAATAGGTTAGGAAAAATCTGGCCTCTAATATTGTTTAATCTTGAGCAACTAACTATATCTCTCTGGGTCTCAGTGTTATGTGCAGAATGAGGCTAAAAACAGAAACTCTCTCTTTGGGTTGTTGTGAGTATACAAAGAATTGAGGTGTGTATTTAGAACAAGTGCCTGGTACACAATTGGTGCTCAATAAGTGGCAGCCATTATTATTGAGCACCAAAAAACTCTTCTTTAGCACCTATGTCTTAATCTAGGAAAACTGATATAGGACAGTCTTTTGGGGATGGGAGTTAGGAATTTGTAACTCTAATTATCATTGTTAGGGAAGTATTTGCTGCTTCTCACTGCAAAGGCTAATTGCTGTCAGTCAGCTCTGAACAGTTTTCTGCTAATCTCTGCTCTTTCCATGTACAGGCAAAACATTATCCTTGTATTGCTTGCCAATCAAAACCCTACTTTTTTTTCACTGTGAAGTGAATTGACCACAAACTTACATCACTTTACATTGGGTCTTCAGTTCTTGACAGCTCTGTTTGTTTCAAGGCTTATTTCTGAGCCATTTTGGAATTTAGATGGCTCAAGAAAGCTGGTTTCCATTCCTTCAACAGATCTACATTGATATATATCAATATATTTGTAACTGATTTTAAAAGCTAAATTAAAAAATTGTCACATAACATGCAAATGGATCAATGTAGGCACACAAAATGTTTACCAACAATACAGTTCCATCACTGAACATTTGATGTAGGTAATTTGTGGATTTTAAAATATGCTTTTGGAAGACAATCATAAAACATAGCATTAGGGTGATTCACAATGAAAAATTACTATTAGAATTGGAAATGACAGTGTAAATTTTATCAACAGTGAGAAAGTTGCTTAAAGAAATAAATCACTGCCCTAAATATAGCTCTTTGAAATAACAAATTATGCCTTGACAGTTGTACCATTTCAATTAAAACAAGTAAAAGGCCCTGTATCCTCTTTGGGAATGAGTAGGTGTTTTATTCTAGCTAGATGGCAGTAGATAACAACATTTTGACTGAGGGAACGTGATGGTTCTGTATACATATTTATATACTCAATTTAAAATTTAATCACGGTGTTTAATTAACTTGTCATAAAACCAAGTCCTGAAATGGCAGGATGTAACAGAGACAAAGCATCTCTCACTGAACGGTAAGTTCCTTTTTTTCAGTGACTAACGATTATTCAGTATATTAACCTGAAGCATGTTGCAGCCCATGCAGGTTTATTGCCAATTGTTAGGAAGACTAAAGTATTATTAAAATAGACTCTTCCTTAAAATGCTTTCAATCACATTAAGAAGTGACACAAATACCATCTATTGGGTCATCTAAGATGGAATTAATAGCTAGAATAAAGGAAAACGTACATAGAAAGTCACTTACTGAGTTACAAAACACATCCAGGAAGACAAGACCAGAAGTGAGATGTGTGTGATGTAAAAATTATGGTTTCTTAAATAACTGTTTAACAAAGTCTATAGGAAAAATTAGCATACACTAAAAAACTCAAATTTAGTAAACCACTGAAATGTAAAATTTCATTAATATCAGAATATGTATTATATAATATATAAATGCTAATGTTATAGTATATATATTTATCATATTAACCACTTACATTTTTAAGAAAGTTGCAGGGATTGCCAATTCCTTAAGTGTTTCGGAGAAGAGGTGAATAAAATAGTTTGTACCAATGTATTCCAAATAATGGAACAGAATTTGTGGAAAACAAAAAAATCACAAACTAAAA